CACAGGTTCCACAGCCTGTGACTAAATTTCGCCAGCCCCCTGAAATTTAGATTTTTAATTTAATTTTTTTTCCTTTGATTATATTTTTAAAATGTTATTATTATAAATAATTTTAGGCAAGCATCTGTGAACAAAACAAAATTTTCACAAATTTTTGTTTTCCATTTTTCTGTTGCTTTTGGTACATTTTTATAAGTTCATGTTAGACAAACTGTTTCATTCTAATAACATAATTTTCCAAATTTATCCGAAACATCCTATTTTTTTACGTTTTCCTGTACCTGGTGTATCAATATATATTACTGTAAATTTATTATTGAAATATAATCTGGATATCTGCATTTATCATTATCATCATACTAAGCACTGATAGGTGAAGTTAACACATGACTTATCTACCATCTCATCCACATGTATCTCCTTTAGCGATCAACCTGCATTAGTCTTAAGTATTGCAAACTCAATATGCAACCTTCTCGTATTGCTTCGCCCCCCATTTGGATTTGGTTTTGCTGAAAGTGAGCACTTGATGGTACTTTTAGGAAAATAGGAATCATTATCAGCGTCTATTGCTGTTGCAGCTTTGGCGATAGTGCATTATTTATCATAACAAACATCTTAATTACAAATATTGATCTAAACTAAAAGACTACATTTATTCGGCATTAATCCAATATTTAATAAGTACTTCAGGCTCCTTTAGACATACAAAATTTGAGCATCAAGCCCGTTTTAAGCTAATGAGTATTATGTAGAATCAAAACATGTCTTATTAGTAGAATTCCAGAAACATTTTCGTCCACTTTTATTGAATTTACATTAACGACTAGATTTATTTGTGATACAAGCAACTTTTGTTTAGCAACCTCCTTCTCTGGCAATAGTACATATTAATATATATTCAATACAGTCATTATTATTGGTTAAAGTGGAAGAGGTATTTTTTCACACAATTGTTCCTTAAACAACACATTCATCTTCAACTGCCCAAAAGGAGGTTGTCAAGTTATGCATGCAGTTGGTGAAGCAACCAAATTGAAAGTACAAAAACGCTCAACCAAATATTAAAAGAATTATGATCAATAGGTTTTATTTTGAGACATCAAAACTAAATGATGAACCAATTTTATCTCTGAATCTGTTATACTCATTAACGATCATACATAATTTAAATTTTATTCATATATTATTCCCATTATATCTTTTAATTTACTATTTATTAATTACAATTTGCAATTTTTGTGTACAATAAATGCCTTTTTGATAATTGAAATCTTAATTTTAACTTATTAATATTTATTAAAATATTCTTTATTTTCTTTGTTGATTTATTTTACTGAAGAACAATTTGTCATCTTTGAATATTATGAGTAAGCTTATTTTGTTACACAATCAGTTCCATCTCTTTGTGCACTAAATGTTTAATTATAACCTTAGCAAGTACTCCAAATAAGATTTGAACCGTAATTGTTTCGCATGTGATAAAAGCTGCACAAGCACTACCATTCTGATAGTATTCTTAATTACTTAATATTGTAGTACAAGTAGCCCAAAATCAATACTAAAAATTGCCTTTTATTATTAACATGCTCTAGCAAAATTAAAAGTGCAATCATCTAATAATTAAAAATTATCATCACCAATAGATTTGATTCATATTTTTTTACATTGAATTTTTTCAAGAATTGAAATAACACATAATATTTGAAAATAAAATGATTAATAATGGCTTGTAAAATAATTTTAATTATTTTTCACCAATATTTTTTTAAGAATGTCTAAAGATTAAAAATAAATTAAAATATCTTTATTATAAAAAAAGCAATATAATATGATAAATGAAATAGGTTATTTTAATAAATCCAAAATATAAATCATAAGTCTGATAAATTGTTTAAATATTTTGAAATTGGAATTGATTAAAAATTGTAATCATTTGAGTAAAAGTAATCATATTTATTAAAATAATTGATTTAGTTTGACAATATTTTATTGGATCATTAGGATTTATCTATAATGACTTATTAAAGCACTCTTAAGCTTCTTCATATCTGTTTAAGTTATTTATTTTAATTTTATTGATAAGAGATAAGAATACCCTTAATTAATATCAAAAATTAATTATACCTTTATTACAATAATTGTCGGGATCATTCTGATTTATCTATAATGATTAATTATACTATTAAATAGCCTCTATATATTTTCCTTTGTCGAATAATAGATTTCCTTTCATATAATTTTCTCAAATACACAGTTTATAATTTATCAATAACTTTAATCTTAGTTCATTGATCTATATCCTGTGAGAATCTTAATAGAATAGCTCTCATCAACCGATATCCATAGATTAGTCATATTATTACTTCATTAATGCTTTTACCTCAGAAGCCAGGTATACATTTGTGGTAAGACTTATTTGTTTAGATCTTTTGCAAAACCAAAATCTTTAATTTGATAACAATATTCTTATTTTCATCATAACAACGTATGAAATTTACTGGTTTTCAGTCCCAATGAACATAATTCAGATTATGTAATTCTATCATTCTTTAATACATCTAATTTATAATCCATTATTCTCACCTAAATGAAGAGCTTATGTTTTTGATATAATTCTAAATTCTTCTTCATCCATATATTCTTTAAAATTGTCTTAGGCAATTCTATAACTAAAAATGGCTTTAGATATGATATTGATTTCAATTCACCAAGATTTATCTTTTAAGTACTCCTATAATTTAATCGAGTTACACTTGTCCTTCTGAGCCATCACCTAATAAATTTAGTTTAATAATATTTTTATTCTTATCACCTCAACAAGGAAAGAACATATTTCTAAAATGTTCTCTATTTCTATTTAAATAATTATTTTAATTAATTATTAATCATTTGATAATTTTCTACAAAATTCTAATTTAATTAAACTGAATAGAGCTTCATTTAAGTAATTTGCTTACAATTTTCCTTAAATACTTCAAAGCACTAAGATATCCTTATAAAACAATGAAAATTATTTGGAAGCCTAAAAATAAAAAGAACACAATATTCCCTCAGATGATTGTGTAATTTTCTTCGGAAAAAAATTAAAGAAATTTTTTCGCTTTTTTTCAATTATAGAATTTAACAGATATATGTATAATAAAAAGAGTCAAAAATATAAAAAATATAAACTTGTTTTAAAATACTTATTGTTTTTAGTTCTGCTCCATATACAGCTATTATACAATATCTAATCTCATTCATAATTTTTTTAATTATTAATTAGTTTAAATTATTTGATAGGGTGTAAATTAAATTTTTTATTTAAGATTAAAAAAGAAATAGAAAATTAATTATGTTAACCTGATGATATCATTAATCATTTACTATTTATCTTTGATAAATGCACTATATCCATTAGTCAGAGGAGATGTTAATCAAGAAAAAGAATGCTTAGATAATTAAACATTAATGCAAATGAACTTCAAATAGATTTGTTACTATTAAATATGAATTCATTATATCTGGATTAATTTTTGAGAATAAAGCTTATTAAAAAATTGGGCAAATTGTATTTCAGTCATAATATGTTCAGAAATTGAAAATTAACATTCCTTTGGAATGGGAAATTCAGATTTTATTCGAGATTAATTGTTGAATAAATAGTGTTCAGATTATGATCAAATACATTGTAAAACATCGAATGAAGCAAATCTTAGTTTTTTACCTCAATAAATAATAGGTATTTTGATGATATCGTTAAATTCGAGATACATTTCAACATTATTTTTAATAATATCACAGAAGTTTTTAAACAATATAATAAAATTAGAAAACCATAAAGAAGACTTTCTAGGAAATCATAATCATCCATTTATCCAGTCAATAGTTTAGCAATATATTAATTTAAACGACAATATAATCAAGTATTTATTACTGTGTTTAGAACTTATGTTCCATTCAATAAGTTATATTCAACTGAATCTTGGCTAAAACCCATATGATATTTAAGAAGTGCAATAAGCATCTTTTTCAAATTTTAAATGAACCTAAAGACTGCTGGCTACTTCATACAAATTACAAAAATATTAGGCAACTTAACAGATGCCAATCCAAGAAGTAACACTAAATTAATATTGTTATTACTGATGAAAGATCAGGAATTAAACACTGTATTTATTTCATAAAATAAGAACAAATTTATTCTTAATTTATAATTCTGCACTCATTAAAGTAAATATTTAATAAAAAGTCGTTTTATTATTTTAAAATCAATCTGATTTAAAAATTGAGTTATCAATATTATTTTTTATTTATTCTACTTATTATTCACTATAAAAAAAGAAATTTAGAAAATT